TAAAAGTATTTTAATAACTTACAGTAGAGGTTACTATTTTATTTATGTCTGTTGCTGGAGAGATGGGTTAGCTATTAAACACAATTTTTCTCCTAGGGGACTTATTTGAGTCTCAGCACCACATGGTAGTTCATAATTGTTGGTAATTTCAGTCCTCGGTGCAACAACACTTTTCTGGCCTCTGCAAACACTTCATGCACGTGGTGTACAGTATATAATATAAAGGTTAAAAATTAAATTTTTTTTTGCATGATATTTAGAGTGAAGACGAAGCTGGCTGTAGTTCAGTTGATGAAGAAAGTTACAAGACTCTGAAGCAACAAGAAGAAGTTTTTCGAAATCTTGATGCTCAGTATGAAATGGCAAGATCACAAACCCACACACAAAGAGGAATGGGTTTGGGTTTCACCTCTTCAATGCGTGGAATGGATACAGTTTGAAAAATATCAGTTTGGGACTTTAAAGACTTGTTCTGATGTCAGGTCCTTGTTCACCAAACAGCTAGTATTCTAGCTTGCATGGGTGTTGCATTGACTTTAATTTATTGAAAAATACGATTTTTTGTAAATATCAGATCAGTGATACTGGTGTTAGTGTTGTAATCAGGTTAAACCCACTTCCATTAAACTTGACAGGAATATAGAAGGACAATATTTTTTAGTTCATGAATTCTACTTTTCAAATATATTAAAGCTTCGGGTGGGATAAAATCTCATACATAGATTTTTCTCGTGTCCGCTGTCTTGTGTACTTTTGTACTTAACCTTGTACAGTTATTTTCATCTCTTGAAACATAAAAGAAATGTTATGTAGAAGTTCTTTAGAAGATCTGGCCATTTGGTACATAATCTGCACACACAAGCTGAGCAGTGATAATAAAAATGGTTTTCTCAAAACTGGTGTTAACTTAAGTTACCTGTTCTTGTTTGAGTCTCTTGTATGTAGCATTGAGTTTTGCAGTTAGAAAACATGGGCTATACATGCTTCTTTCCAGCAGTTGTTTTAGGAGATAAGCAATATCACAGTGCACAGAGATGTAAAGGAAGAAAATTTACTAAAAGTTTTCCTATTTATGATGCAGAATTGGTGTGCAGTATTTGAGTCCATTTTATTCAGGAAATAGGTTAATGCATTAGAGGGATGTGAGCACTTTTATATTAATAAAGTGCCTTATAACAAGTCTGTTGTATGCTACTTAGTCATTATGCCTGTCTTATTCAGAAGAAACATATTGAAAACCACAACTTTTTCTGGCAGGAGGGTTAAGTGTATCCAAACAGGGTTTCTCTGAGTAACAGTCCTGGCTGTTGTGGAACTCACTTTGTAGACCATGCTTCCTGCCTCTGCCTCTCAAGTGCTGAAATTAAAGTCATGTACCACCACTGCCTAACTAGAAACAACTTTGAGGAGCTCAGTGGTAGTCCAAACTGATACGTGTGTTAATATAAGGAAGATCCAGTTAGAATGACTTAAGGAGCTGCAGGCATGAATTATCTTGTGCATACTTGCAAATGAGGCTGGAGAGATGACTCAATAGAGTCTTTGCTGCTCTTACAGAAAACTTGGGATTCTGTAAGTTGGCAGCTTACGACTACTTCAAGTAACCTGGATTCTGACAGACACCCTCTTCTAACCATGATCACTGTACACGTATGGTAAACATGATCCATGTCTCTGTCTTTTGTACCTTTTCTGATAGACACCTTCTAACCACGATCACTGCACACATACGGTACACCTGATCCATATCTGTCTTTTGTATATTTTTTTTTACTTGCCATTTTTTAATCCTCATGTTTCCCTCCAGTCACAGATAATAAGCTATACAGGACCCGGCTGATGTGGTGCACATGTAACCATGTGTTTAGTTTAAATGAGAATCCTTTCATTCTCCCAACACCTGTAGTTCCTTGAAAGTCTGACGGTTATTTTCCTTCTATTATGTATATTCACTGTATATGACTGTAAAAACAAGGGTAAACTGAATGTTAGTCTTAAACTCAGCTGCTCTAAGCTTAACCTAGAAATAAATCCAAGTCCCTAATATGCCCAGCCACACATTTTGTCTGCTATAACAGTTTCCTTTGTTCTTGACACTACCATTGTGGTAAAGTTATGAAGACCTATGTTGAAACAGGTCTGTGATATAGGAGCTATTAAAATTCTCTCTTCGAGAAAAGAAAGGAAGGCTCAGATGCTGGAATGTGATCCCTAGGGAAACTAGGACAGGAAGATTGCCCCAGGCAACCCCAAAGGACCTGGAAAATGTAGCACAGTTGCTACCTTTGTCTAGCCATGGGCTTGATCCCCAGCACTACATTAACCGGGTATATGATAAGATCTCAAAAGCCTTCTAAGACCATCATCGCAAATAAAACCATTACCCAGTTATAATTACTACTTGAAATGCTAAATGCATAAGACTTTGTTTTATGACAGGATTTCTCTGTATAGCCCTGGCTATCCTGGAACTCCATTCTGTGAACCAGGCTCCCTCTGCCTCCTGAGTAGTGGGATTAAAGGCGTGTACCACTACTGCCCAGCACATAAGATTTTTTAATTATTTGGTTTATTTTCCCTTCATTGGCCCACTCCAAAAGGAATCCATTTTCCTTACCTCTGGCAAAAGGACATATTAGCATATCATCACATGTTGGAATCACAAGTAACTTACCTGTAACATTTCAAAGTCCATCCTAGTCTTCCCACCACCTCCCCTCCACTTCATATCTCCCCCACCTCTGGCTAGCTATTTCTTATTCTTCCTCCCCACCCCACCTCAAACAGGATTTCTTTTGTGTTCTGGCTATCCTGGAATTAACTCTCTCCTCTAGAATGACCTTGAATTCACATAGTTAAGTCTGCCTCTGCTTCCCAAGCACTAGGATTAAAGGTGTACACCACCACTGCCCTCCCCTTATAACCCTACTATTCTATGTTCACTCTATGCTTTGCTCCTGCTGGTCTCTCTCTACTTTATTCTCTCTTCCCTTTCTTTGCAGACAGCCCCAGCCAAATCAAGTTTGTTAGCCATATTCTGTTCAGTGTACTCTCCCTGCTCTGGACTCCTCCAAATGCTGCTGCTGACTGATCTCTCCCTCATATTCCCCCCAAAAAATTATGTATCCATCATGTCAGTTAGTTTATACATTAGCAAGACCTTAAAAAAATTATTGGAAATGAAACTTTGTTGTCGAAGCTACCTGCAAGTCACCCATTTTCAAGTAATGCCCATCCCTTACTTTATTTGGTTTTCTAGACAGGGTTTCTCTGTGTAGCTTTAGTTGTCCTAGGATTCTCTCTTTAGACCAGGCTGGCTTCATACTCAGAGATCCGCCTGCCTCTGCTTCCCCAGTGCTGGAATTAAAGATATGAGCTACCAGCTCCAGCTCCACTTTTGACTAATGTGTACAAGGTCCTGAATTTAATACCCAACACCACTAAAAAAGATTTTTAAAAAATACATCTTCGACAGGTCTAGTTTCTTCTCTATTACCTGTGGGATAAATTGCCTCAAGGTATCACATCAAAATAAAATCATTCCCAGAACTTTCCCACCATTTATGCTGGGTGGTAGTGGCACACGGCCTTAATCCCCAGAGCTCAGGAGGCTGAGGCAGGCAGATCTTTGTGAGATTGTAGGCCAGCCTGGTCTACAGAATGAGTTCCAGGACAGCCAAAGCTACACGGAGAAACCCTGTCTTGAAAAATGAATGTGTGTGAGAGAGAGAGAGAGCGAAGAAAGAAATCCTGGCAACCACATACTATCCTGTCTCTCAATGCTTTTAACCAACACTCTGCTCTTTTATCTTTTAAATATTTTCTATTTCTTATCTATTTTCCCAATACTGGAACGTATACCCTCAGGGTGTTATGCAAATCAGAAGTTCAGCTGCTGAGCTACAATCTATCTCTAGGATCCCACCCTCACCCAGTCCTCAGAAACTACAATTTCCTATTTTACTCTGAAAATCTATGAATCTGATAGACTCAATTGTTTTATCTTGTTTGTTTCCCCATCCTTTAATCAAGACTACCTCATCAAAAGGTAAGTTAGCTATTACAAACATGCTGTCTGTTTAAATGGCTTTAGCTGGTAGGCAGTCTAGGAGAACTTGACTAATGTTCAGATTCATCTTGCTCACTTTGATCTTTGTGTTCCTCTCTGGCCCCCATTTGCCCACTTTTTTCATATTTCAGTTCAAGTTCTTCCTTTCAATGACAGGCACCAAGAGGGTATTTTTTTTAATTCTTTTATTCTTTCTTTTTCTTTGAAGAAGGGAGGATAGACAAGATATTTCATGTAGCCCAGGCTCACTACGAGCACTGTCTCTGAAGATGGCCTGGAATTACTGATTCTAAATATGGTGCAAGTTGACTATATTGTTTCCTTGTTGCATGTTATAATTTCCTGTTTTTTTAATGTGTGATGCCGAATATCCATCCAAACAAGAAAATAGAAACATAATTATGGGGCTTTCTGTTTTTGTCCCTGATTAGAGTTAATGAGGGCAGACGTTAGTGACACTTCTAGAGAAGTGTCAAACACATTAAAGGCAGTGAATCTATATCGAATGAATGATGATCCCATAAAAAAACCTCTTCCGAGAAATCTAAAACGATATAATGACCTAATTTCACTTACATCCGTTTAAAAATGAAACAAGTACAATAAAGTGGCTTGTGTCTACGAGCAAATTTGTCGCCAGTGGCAAAGCTAGAGTTCCTATTTTGTCTTTTTGACGTGGGGTAAACGCACCACAATTTGTCATAAAGCATCTACCGGGCTCTGATTCTTCAGCTTTGGACGCCTAACGGGAAGAATCCGTATTGTTTTAACTCATTCGGAATCGTTTTAAAAAACGATCAATCCCAGTGTGCAATGCAAACCATCTGTTCAGTCGCTTAGAAACCACATATCCCAGAATGCCACGCTCCGGAACCCAGTCGATCGGAGACACGAGGAAAACCGTGGCATTCGGGGAGTTGTAGTCTTCTGGTAGGTCCCGCCTCTAGAGCGGCTTTGGAGGCCTGCGTGTGGAGAAAAGCCTCCAGGGAGAGCTGTGCCGCCCTCCAACCTTCGCCCCTGCCCTCGACTTTTTCCCACAGCTCAAAATGGCCGCTGGTGTGGATTTTGGCGATCTAGAATTATTCGAGGCGTTTGACCCTCAAGAGGAGTCAACCCCGAAGCCAGTTCACACCCGCTTCAAGGACGACAACGAAGAGGAGGACGCCGAAGAGAACGGGGTGGGGGACGCGGAGCTACAGGAGCAGCTTCGGCACAGTGAGGAAACGATCGAGCAACTCCGCGCCGAGAATATCCTTCCGGCTTGTTGGCTCTGTCACCTGGGACTTGGGGTCCCTGTGGTGGCGGGCGCGGGAACGGCGGAAATTCCAAAAGGATCAGCATTCTAAGTCATTTCTCCCTCGACTCGGAGGGCTGGCGGGCGGGCGGTCTCGGTCGGGTTGCACGTAGCTGCAGCGCGGCCTGCGCGCAAACCCTTCCGTGCGAGAATCTTGTGTAGACCACCCTGGCCCCCAGCTCAGAACCTAAACTGTTACGTTGTCAACGGTTCCCGACTTCTCTCCCTCTTTTTGAGGTCACGGTGATTTCTTTCTGGGCTCTAGTGGAGACAGTCGTGGTGTGGTTTGAAGATGCGGGGATCGATGCGGGGAAGGGGTATTTGTGGAGGGGCAAAAGCTTGAGTGGCTTCTATGATGCAGAGTCGGGGCCTTAAAGAATTAGCATACAAAGAGAAATGGTCAATTGGCATGATAGTTTTACTTTTTCGATATCTTCCGCTTTGAGCAAGGTTGCTTTGCAGTGCTCTGGGGAAAACGCGCCAAATTTCCCTTTGACTTTATTAACATGATTACAGAGTTTCCGGATTTGCAGTATGTTAAGTTTCATTCATAAGGTTCTTGAATCAGCATGTACAGATAGTCTTGACCAAGGTAACTCTTTAAAACTGATAATGAATCCTGAGAATAGTTGATATATCAGGTTTTGAAGTTTGAAGTCTGATTATTGTTTTTTTTTATGATGCTATATAACACGAATAATGAAATCTCAGAGATAGATACTGGGTTTCAAACTGAAGATCAGAAAAGCAAAATACCCAAGCCACTAAAGAAGTCTTAACCTCTACCAAGGCTGGGCAACTACAGACTGAGCCTCTATCTCTTCCCGTTTTATATTCCCCTGGGATTAAAGGCGTGTGACTCTAGTATTGAGATTAAAGGTGACACCACCACCTGGATTGGACCTGTTTCCACATTGGTCTTGTGTAGCCCAGGGTGGCTTTGAACTCACAGAGGTCCGTCTGCCTCTGTCTCCCAAATCCTGGGACTAAAGGTGTGTGCCACCACTGCCTAGCCCCTGGTGGCTTAATTTTACCTTCTGGTCTTCAGGCAAACTTTATTTATAATAAATATAGTAATAAAATATTACTATAATACTATTTTCCATGATATTTTATTGTGAGTATTTATAAATACTAGAGAGCTGAGGATTGTACATTTAATATCCATAGATGCAATTCCACATTCTTGTTAACATTTTGCTATATTGCCTTTATTTTATCATTTATCATGCTGCTTTGACAAGGAAAATTTTCCTAATTGGCTGCTCTAGCTTGTTCCAGGAACACAGTTGTCTAACTGATATTAAACTGTTTCTGAACTTCAGGATCATGTTGGAGAATATTTGTTCAAAGGGCAGAAAATTGTATTTAATATTTAGGCCCAGTTGTCCTGTCCTCCAGCAAAGCACGTGCTCAGTATGTCTCCCCCAGAACACTTGCAGGTCCTTCCTTTACATTCTACTGTTTGGATAACAAAAGTGAGAGACATTTGAACGTTATGACCTGTATAATTCTATTTTTCGATGACGGATATTCCTTAACCAGTAATAACATCAAGAACTTAAAAGAAAATTGAACATTCTGACAAGACCCAGGTATGAGATCTTGAAATTATACCTGAGATGCCCATTGCTGTTCATCTCATTAATCACAACATCTTTAAAAAGGTTGTGGGATTTTTGTCATCATCATTTATTTCAGAATACTATGAAGAATTCAATAACGGTTCTTTATTGTTGACTTATGAGTATAAATTCTGGTAAGTGGGTTAAACATTTAAATGGATTTAATGGGTCACTTTGGAATCCAGAAAATTTTGCCTGTGTTTAGAAAAGCAAACTAAGCCCAGCTGTTCATATTCAACACACATTTCTGGGAAGATAAAATAAGTTTACAGATACTTACCTGATAATTTCTTTACAGCATTGTTGTTGTTGTTGTTGTTGGTTAATTTTGTTCTTTGAGCAGGAATCAGTGTTCTGATTTTGAGACAGGGTTTCACCTTATAACCCAAACTAGCCTGGAATTCCCAGTATAGCTTAGACTGGCCTTCAGCTTATTGGACCTTGTTCCTCTACCTTGAAAGTGCTGGAATTACAGATGCAAGCAACCACACTAGCATTATTTACACAATTCAAATATTTTGTAAATACAGACAGTGCAAAGTATACCATTTTGTTTTGTTTTGTTTTGTTGAAACAGTCTGATTGTTCCCTAAGCTGGCTTCAGCTCACAGTGGAAACTGAGGATGACCTTGAACTGTGAGCCTCCTGCCTCCCCTTCCCTGGTGCTGGGATATACCCTATGCTGCTAAGTCTGGGAACACATAATGCTTTAGAGCAGACAGTAATGTGTTCTTGAGAAAGTACAGCATATAGGTATGTATTCAGACATGTGGACATAACAGATATTCCAAATGCTGGTATCTCAGTATGACTTTTAACAAGTCACTAAATTAATTTTTATTTTATTTTTTTGAGTCAAGGAAGTTCTCTTTGTAGCCTTGACTGGCTTGGAACCTACTTTATTTATACAGGCTGGTTTCTGACTCAGCTGCCTCTTCTTCCTGAGTTCTGGATTAAAAACATATGACAGCAGTCTTGGCCTAATGTGCTAATTTATATAGAATGGCTGGTTCTTTCTCTTATTCTCCTTTGTTTCTCCATCTTTTTTTCTTTCTTTCAACAGAGTCTGTGTGACCCAGGCTGCTCTCAAACTCGTAGTTTGGCCTCCTCCTGCCTTAACTTCCCAAGTGCTGGCATTACAGGTAGAGTCAGGTTCGCTTGAAATATTTCCAGGTGTTGGAACTGGGAGGTTACCCTGTGCTTTCTGTTGTTTGTTCGTACGCTGGCTAGGTTGTGACCAGATTTTCAGGTAGGGTCTCATGTAGCCAAAGCTATCCTAGGACTCATGGTGGAGCTCTGATCTTGAACTTTTTATCTTTCTACATCTTGGTATTATAGGCATGATGCTAGGCAAGCGGTCTGTCAGCTGAGGTCACTTGTAGCAGGTCCTCATGCAGAGGTCAGGATTACCTAGAATTCACTCTGGCCCATACTGGCCTCAAACTAGAAGCAGTGCTGCCTACCTTTCCCGAGTTTTGTGAATCTTGAATTGTAGTTGAAGCAATGTGCTTTGGCTTCCAGGAGTCTAGAATAAAATAAAAATTCATTAATGAAATGTTTAGTTTTCCTTTATACTTCCAAACCAAATTCACGTAGAAATGTTTAGAAGTATATTCTTGTAACTTGCCTGCTTATCCTCTTCCACGCTGCCCTGATTTGTAAGGAAACTAACTAGCCTCTCATTAAAGAAACCTTGTTAAAAACTAAAAGATTAACCTATGGCTCTTTGGTGTGTGTATGTGAAACTTTTTTGTGTTGAGATAATTTCTGGGCCAAGTATGGTGGTGCAGGCTGCTAATGATCCCTTGGGAAGCAGAGGCAGTAAGATCCCCGTGAATTCAAACAAAGCCAGACCTGATCTACACCATGGAGACCCTGACTCAAAGAGACAGACAGACAGACTTTCTAGGGCTTGAGGAGATAGCTGGATGATAAGTGTTCATTGTATAATTAGAATCCCTGCACCCTATCTCAGAAAACAGAAGGACACTTTGACTTTCCCTTCTGGCCTCACTCACCATGCACATATGCACTTGCACCCACACAGACACAACACAACACAACACAACAAAAAGCTCAGCGGTTAAGAGCACTGGCTGCTCTTCCAGGGAACCCAGGTTCAATTCTCAGCACCCATATGTCAGCTCACACTCGTCTATAACTCCAGTTCCAGGGGATCCCACATCCTCACACAGACATACATTTGGGCAAAACACCAATGCACATGAAATAAAAATACTAAAGAGAGAGAAAGACAGTGGGTGGTGGTAGCTCACGCCCTTAATCCCAGCAGTCGAGAGGCAAAACCCCCTAGATTTCTTGAGTTCAAGGCCAGCCTAGTCTGTGGGGCGAGTTCCAGGACAGGCCCCAAAGCTACACAGAAAAAAATCTGTCTTGGAAAAAAGAGAGAGAGAGAGAGATGACTTGTTCAAACCACTAAAGATAGTAGGATAGGTGAAAACTTAGGTTTTTCTTGAAAGCTGGAGCACTTGTGCATCTCGTTTTCACCTTATTTGTTTCGCTGGGCTTGGAAGCTAAGGCCCTTTCACATGCTGAGCAAGCTTTCCACCACATGCTGCATCTCCAGCCCTCCTGGTCTTGTTTGCAGGATATTACATGATCTTTAGTACTTAAGAGTTAGAGAAGTTAACTGGGTGTGGTGGTGTACACCTGTGATCCCAGAACTGGGGAGGCTGAAATAGAAGGATCCGAAGCATGAGGCAAGTTCAGACCACTAAGGAGACCTTGTCTCAGCAAAGACTGTAATCACAAAACTCATGTGCTTATAACTGTGATGTATGTACTTCGATGTCTTCTAAGAATATGTTTAACTTCTGTTTTAGTGGCATACTGGTGAGCAATACTAAGATAGATGGACCCTTATTACAAATTCTATTTATGAACAATGCTATTTCAAAGTAAGTAGTTTTTTTCTTTATTACATATGAGTATTTATTACACTTTATTTATCGTGTGTTTTTATGTGTGTGTGGGTATGCATGTGCCATGGTAGAGGTATGTGGTAGTCAAAGGATAACTTGTAGGAGTCAGTTTTTTCCTTCCCTGTGTTGGTCCAGGGGCTTGAACTCAGGTAGTTGGGCTTGACTGCAGGCACCCTTACCTGCTTAGCCATCTTGAGGACCCTCATCTTTATTATTTTAATTGTGTCAGGGTTAAAGTATGAGAGTCATGGGCATGAATTTGAACCTGGACTCCTACATCCGTGTACTGGCGCAGCTCTCAGTACCTGTCAGGTTTCTCACTAGAAAACAGTATGTACTGATAGTAAATACCTCTCAGGTCCTTAAACAAAATCTGTGAGAGCCCAGGAAGTACCATCTCATAAAAATGCCACCACCACAACTATAATAACAAGGTTAGCTGTCCACACTATACGTGGATAACAGTTTTCCATGTTGGCTGTCTGAAGCCTGCCCACGTGTATAGTTTTGGTCAGTAGCAGAACTTGTCTACTGCAGGTGGTCTGGCATGCCTCAGTGCACTCCTGCAGTGGCCTGCCCCTCCTGAGTCACTGCCTATGACCAAGAAGGTACAAGACTAGGGTCATTGTCTGCTTTGGTCCAGGAGTGAAATCAAGGCATTGGGAGCTAGTGGGTGGTGAGTGCAGCAGCAGTATGAAGCACAATACTAGGCTTACCTGGACTTGGGGACTAGATTAGAGAGGTATTAATCTAGTCTAGCGTTTAATGGTCTAACTTCAGTACCATGCAAAATCGTAGGTGCTAGAGTTAGACAAGACAGGAAAGGTCAGCTCTGTCTGAGGCCCTAGCTGCCTTGTTTCAACATAGCAACCTGAGCTAAGGGATCGCTCCGGGATATTTGGTCAGAGTAGACGCCTTTCTTCCTCCTTTCTTTCTCTTTTGGTTTGTTTTGGGTTTTTTTGTTTTGTTTTGTTTTGTTCTTTTGGCTAATGTATTTTGATTGTGCCTTTTCTAGTTTTCATGTGAAATGGGCGTTTTCTTATATGAGCACTGAAAGTCTGGAAGGAGGATATGGGAAGGATTGAGCATGTTGGGTGTTCTTATATTGCAGAAATAGTGAGGAGAAAGGAAGCTTTTCCTTATGTAACTTTTTTAGTGGATTTTGTTTGTTTTCTGGGACAGTGACAACTTCTCTCGTTGTGTCCCTGACTGGCAGCTGCCCTCCCACCTCTGCCTACCTGCCAAATGCTGAGATTATAGGCATACATCACCGTGTTAGGCTTTTCCTTTGGGTTTTGAACCATTGACAAGTAGCCTATATTAAAGATTAAGTATATGGAATTTATAAATAAATTCTATTTATTGTCTCAACTGTTTGAGGTTCTGTGCCAGACACGCATAGATGATCAGAAACTGCTAATGCTGCAACAATACGTAGAGCTTCTGAGGAGTAGCATTCTTAGTTACGAAGCCCCTAATGTAACATATATGAAAAACAAAAATGAGATCGGGACTTTTTTTTATTTTTCTTTGTATTTTTGAGACAGGGTTTCTCTGTGTAGCTTTGGAGCCTGTCCTGGAACTCGCTCTTGTAGACCAGGCTGGCCTCGAGCTCACAGAGATTCTCCTCCTCTGCCTCCTGAGTGCTGGGATTAAAGGCGTGCACCAACACCGCCCGGCCAAATTGGGACTTCTTTACTACAGAGAACTTCATTCTGTTCATGTTTCACTTTGTCCAGGTTCTAACCACCTGTCTGTCTTATTCTCTCCTACAGACAATACCACCAAGAAATAGAGGAGTTTATATCAAATTTAGTAAAACGATTTGAGGAGCAGCAAAAAAATGATGTGGAAAAAACTTCTTTCAGCCTTTTACCCCAGGTATTTTAAACTTGAGGCTCAATGCTAAGTGGTTTATGCTTTTTGCTGCCAACTGCTGTTACACCAGAAACATCCTTGAATCAAAACTAAAATGGTGAAGATTGTGTGCTGACTTTGTATCCTCTCGTTGTCTTCTCCAGAGTCTGACCAGTGCCGCCACCTGGCTTTCCTTTGAATGTAGTTGTATGACTACTTCTAAAATTGAAGGTGTTCTTTTCATTCCCAACTTGGACAAAATTTGGGCAGAGGGCAGAAAGTTGATTGAGGGACAGGTTTATTTACCTAAGGTTTATAAAAGATGACTTCTTGGGCCAGGGAGGTGGCCTATTGGATCAGAGTGCTGCTGTGCAATTGCGGTAACCTGAGTTTGGACGGCAGTACCCACTTGTGCGCAGCCCAGCCTTTGAAGGGCAGAGACAGACAGTCCCGTGAGCTCACTGGCCAGCCAGCCTGGCCAGATGACAAATTTCCAGTTCAGTTAGAGATTCTATGCCTAGGAGTTGAGGTAGGAGATGTATAACAGGCCAACAGACTTATGAACACAAAACAAAAACTAATAGTTTTGTTTTTTGTTTTTTTTTTTATGGGAAATCTGAAGCCAGGTGGTGGTGGCATACGCCTTTAATCCCAACTCTTAGGAGGCAGAGGCAAGCAGATCTCTGTGATTTCAGGGCCAGCCTCGTCTACAAAGTGTGTTCCAGGACAGCTAGGACTACAAAAAAAAAAGAAGAAGAAAAAAATCTGAGGCCATGTATGGTAGTGCACACCTTTGAGTCCAACATTCAGGAGGCATAGGCTAGCACTATGGTCTACATAGTGAGTTCCAGGACAACCAGGACTATATAGAGAGACCCTGTCTCGAAGATAAAGAAGTCTGAGGAATTACAGAGTGTGTATGTATTCAGTAGCATGGTTTGTGGCCTTTTTTTTTCCTTTTTTTTATGATCTTTTTTCTAATAAACATTAAGATAAATAAATAGAATCAGCCAAACATACACAAACATACACCAACCGGGGGGGGGGGGGCGACTTTCAATTAAGCAATGATACTTTTTGTTCTTAGGAACTGGAGAAGGAAGTATTTTAATTATTTGAAAATTTTTGTTGTTTTGAGACAGGGTCTTAACTATGTAGCCGTGGCTGGTCTCAAACTCACAGGTTTACCTGCCTCTGCTTCTTGAATGCTAAGATTTAAGGTGTGTACCACCACACTCAGCTAAAAAAACTTTTTGGTTTCTTGATTCCAGGGTTTCTCTGTGCAACCCTGGCTGTCCTGGAACTAACTCTGGACACCAGGCTGGCCTCAAACTCAGAGATCCACCTGCCTCTACCTCCTGAGTGCTTGGATTAAAAGCATGTGCCACCATGCCCCAAAAATGTTAATTTTGATTCAGTGAACAATTCAGAATTTTGTAATGGTTTGAGGTCTATGAGGCTATCAGTATTGGCTGTTGTTATTTTGTTCATTTTTGGTTTTTTTGTTGTTCTTTTTTTTTCAAGACAGGGTTTCTCAAGTCTGCCTCATCATTTGAAACATTTGACATTTTGTAAATAATTCTGCCTTAGCTTCTAAATTCATTCTAATTATGACAAGGTGTCTTATTTATGGTTTTCTGGGTATTTTGTTTGTTGGTTTTTCTTTGATTTTTCAAAACAGGGTTTCTCTATGTGTCTTTGGCTGTCCTAGAACTCTGTAGACCAGGCTGGACTCTAATTCACATAGGTCTGCCTGCCTCTGCCTCCCAATTGCTTGATTAAATGCGTGCTCCACTATGCCAGGCTTATTTATGTATATTATTAAAGTGAAAGAAGGGTGTTGAGGTTCCTAAATTTTGAAAATGAAAAGGTATTTCTTTGACTGGAGAGGTGGCTCAGTGGTTCAGAGCTCTGCTTTTCCAGAAGACCTGGGTTCATTTCCCAGCACCCATTTGGCATCTCACAACTGTCTGTAACTTCATTTCCAGGGGATCTGACACCCTCACACAGACATACATGAAAGAAAAACACAGTAACTAATCAAAACAAAGGTGTTCTCTTGTGACTCTTTGTAATGCGTGTTATTTGGTCTTAGCCGTCCAGTGTTATTTTGGAAGAGGACCATAAAGTAGAAGAATCATGTGCCATTAAAAGCAACAAGGAAGCTTTCAGTGTAAGTTTGTATTCTTCAATTTGAATTCTGCGCACGTGCAGTTCCTTTGTTTCTCAGTTGGGTGGCTTAATGAGTGATAAGGTGACATAGTCGCATGGCTTCTAAGATCACAGCGTTTTCTCTGTGGTGACCACTGTTGTAGTTGGCGTCCTCTAAGTACCATTTGCTCTTCAGAGGTTGCCGCACTCTATTGTGACGACACAGTATACTTTATTTGCAAGAGTTTGTATTGGTCCTGACCAGCCTCTTCATGTTTATCTTGAAAATTTTGACTAAAAAGTAGAAAGTAGACTTGCAAAGCTTACAGATGAAGCTGAGAGAAGTAACCATTAACTATATGGCATGTTTGAAGTTTTAAAAATGTCAGTAGGTTTAATTAGTAGGTAAAAGCAAAAGCTTAACAGGAAGAGTCTATGTTTAGGCCTTGCAATGCTTCTGCAGAGTTCGTTGGTATCAAGCCATTCTTGTAGCTTGCTCTCAAAGGGTGGCTACTTTATGCTTACAGGATATGCCCCCTGATCATGTGCCCCAATTTTTAAAGACATGGGCTGCTGAGATGATGAAGTGATGAAGAGCTGCAGGTCTCATGAAAAGACTTGAAAATTCAACAGTAGCTGCTATATGTGCTTCATAGCATCCCTGGCAGAGCAGGATTAGTGATGGGATTGAGTACAAGAGGTACATTTCAGCTTGGTGTTAGAGAACGAACAAAGAATGTGGCCGTAGATGCTCATACTTGTAATCCTAGTACCTAAGAGGCGAGGGCACAAAGGAAAAGGAAAAAAGCTAGGCAGGGCATGTAGTTTAGTGGCAGAGTACTTCATGTGTGAGTCTGCTGGGTGTTGGTATTATTTTTTTAGCCTGGAGAGTTAGCTTAAGGGCTAAGAGCGTGTGCCCCTCTTGTAGAAAAACTGAGTTCAATTCGCAGCACTTAAACTAGGTGCCTCATAACCACATATAACTCCATCTCCAGGGATCCAACACCTCTGGCCCTACCCAGGGACTAGCACTTGTGCCACATACCCATAGACATACGTGCATGTACATAATTAAAAATAGGATAATTCTTTATAAAATCAGAACTTTGCATCAGACCGGGAAAACAGTCCAGGTTACTTGAGTACAATAAAGATTAGGGATGCTATCAAGAATACTTTATTTATTTTTTTATTTTTTATTTATTTTTGAGGCAGGCTTTCTGTGTAGCCCTGCCTGTCCTGAAACTTATTGTGTGGAACGGGCTGGCTTCAAACTCAGATATACCTGACTCTAACTCCTAGGTGCTGGGATTAAAGGCATGTACCACCACCAACCAACCCTATCAAGAATATTTTTAAGTTTTCTATTTCTTGTTTCTTGTTTATAGTTTAGTTTTTATTTTCAGTTTCTAAATTAAATTTATTCGTGTGCATGCCTGCCTGCATTGCTGTGGTGTGTGTAGAAGTCTGAGGACTATTTTCTGGAGTTGTTATCCTCCCACCCTGTGGGTCCTGACTGTGGAGCTCCAGCTGTCAGGCTGGTGTTTGAGCCGTCTCACCAGCACTGATTGTTTGATGAGACAAGGAGTCGCTCTGTGGTCCAGGCTTTCCTCAGACTCACAGCAGTTCTCCTGTCTCTGCCTTTGAAGTGCTGAACTTACAGGGAAGCCACAGTTAGCTTAAAGAAGGATCTCTGAAAGTTCTAGGTAACTTTCATTTTTCTTTCAACTCAAAGGCTCTGGGATTAAAATAATGTTTGTCTAGAATGAGCTTATAGTTATCGCTTTAGTTATTCAGACAATACTGGTGTTTACTGTTGCTGTTCTGTGCCAGAAGCAGAGAGGTTTCAGAGATAGCAATGAAAAGAAAGGGTTGAGGCCAGCTCTGGTTTAATGAGCAGTTGAGTAGGAAAAGGTTAAATTCCTAAGAAAAGTCAGGTTGGGGTGTAGGCTAGTAGTTATGTGCTTGCCTAGCATGTTAGGCCCTGGGTTCAATGCCCTAGTAGTTAGTACATAGGGGTGTGTGTGCGTGAGAGAGAGAGAGAGAGAGAGAGAGGCATTGATGGATGGATGGATGGACAGACAGACTTACAGAGGACAGTCTAAGTAGCTTAGTGAAATTCTACCTCATGATAAGTAAAGAAATGGCTGGGGCTGCAGTTCGGTGATGGAGTACTTAACTTTCTAGCATGTAAAAGGCTTCAGTTCCATTGGGCGATGGCAGGGAGAGGAGAGGTACAATACCCAGGGTGGGTGGTTTATATTGTGAGTTGCTGGTGACTGCCTGTGTGAGCCAAGGTCTGGATGAATTGAAGGAAAATGCAAGACTGTATTTTGTGTGAAGAGGGCTCAATAAATAGGAAAGGGAAGTAGATACCAGCAGCCAGTATTCAAATTGCTTTCTGTGCAGCCAGTACTGGTAAATCACATGGGAGCTGATTACGGGCGATACTTGTGGTGGTAATACCTTGCCAGCTTATTAAAAAGGAAACACATGGAAAGCTAAGAGATTTTGTCAGTAGTCAGGTGACAGAGCCAAATGATCTACAGCCTTATATTGCTTTATAGGCTATAATAAAACCTTCAGAGTGTAGTCTAAGAGACCATGTAAGGATACCAAGTGACATGCTATGTCTTAACTGAAAGAACTATATTCTTTGTGGAACGTAGCTTGCATAGGGTCTGCAGTGAGAAAACTGCTGTTAACCTCACACAAGAGAAAGCACAACTGAGACCAGCATGGTAGTTATGGTGATACATGTCTGAAACCTGGATATACTTGGCAGTAGAACCAGTCAAATGTGTTCATGAGTTAGCTGTAGAATAAGAGCTCTCCTGAGAGAATAGTCAGAACTTAGGCTTGACCTAGGAAAGTGGGAAGTGTGGGGAGGAGCAGGTTTGGAGAGGCTGGGAATTGGTTGGCTCTTTTGTTTTGTTTTGTTTTTAATTTACTTACTTTGGGTTTTCTGTTGTTGTTTTTAAGACAGTCTTGCTGTGTATCTCTAGCTGGCCTCGAACTGTGGTCCTCCTGTCTCAGCCTCCCAAGTGCTGGGATTGCAGGCAGTTGTCACCCTACCTGGCTTCCTGTGCCATTTTAAATAGGTGAGTTGGAGATACCTTACATGTCCAGACAGAGGTGCCATAGTGGCATTTGAATAGCCAAAACTGGAGCTAAGGGATCACAGCTTACTTTGAACAGGGAGTGGGGTGGTCATCAACATAGAAATTATTTCTCATGCCCTAGACCTGGGTGAATCGCCTAGGAAGTAAAAATGGAAAAGATGTTTAAGGACGTCTGGGAAGATGAGAGGTACGGGGGGTGGAGGAGTTGGGATTTCATCTGTAAGAAGAACTGAAGTGGCATCCTGAAGGCCTTCCAGAGTTGGAAAGTGTTTGTAGAAAGAAGGAAGTGCTGTGCCAGCACTTGCTGATGGGTTGAGAGATGAGGATTGACAGTTCCCTAAAGGACTGAAGCGCAGAGACGTCCTTGGCTCCATCATCCAGCTAGTGTGGCAGAAGTGCAGCATTGCCGGAGGTGGTGGAGAGAGACTGGCAGGGGGGACGTGTTCTAGATAAACCCCTGAAGACAACGTGCAACCCTTAATAAATCCTGGCTTGAGGGCAAGAAAACTGTAAAAAGCATTCTGGAGGTAGGGAAGCTTGCGTGTAGAGTTGATGTAGGAGGTACTAGGGAGTTGGTATTGGTTTGCAGAAAAATGTTCTTAGTTCATACTGAGCATTTAAGGGTTAGTGATACTCTCTATAACTGACTTAAATGGTTAAGTAAAGAGTATGTGTGTGTATGTGTACATATGAAAAGAGTCATGCACAGAAAATTTTAGATGATTATTTATTCAGTCTGTGAACAGGGTGCATGAATATTCTTTGTACTGTGTTTTCAACTGATCTGTTAGAAATGGCTGCAAAAAGTCAGTAGGAAACAAAGTAAATGGGAACCAGGGAACTGGAAATAATAAATGTAGCCTGTGAGGGTCTTGTTGCAGACACATAAGTACTGGAGGGACCAGTGAGAGTCAGGTTTAGTTGAGACAGAATGGTCTATAGTACTAACAGTACCCGTGAAAGCTCATCGGGGTCCAACTCCCGTCTAGAACTTTATTTCTCATAGCTTCATCCAAGTCAAACGGGTAATGGGTAATCATAGACTTACATTATCATAGACTTACATTACTTAATGTCTTTTTTTTCTGCTTAAATAGCAATATTTTTTGACTTGTTTTCTGCAGGTTGTAGGAAGTGTCCTGTATTTTACTAATTTTTGCCTTGATAAATTGGGGCAACCGCTACTAAATGAAAACCCTCAGCTTACGGAAGGATGGGAAATACCCAAGTATCCTACATAGTGAATGAAGATCTTTTATGCATCTTGCCACTAAGTTCACCTTTAAAAAAAAGCTTACCAAATTTTGCAGACTATGATAACTATTCCTTAATAAAATTCACTAAAGGTACCAGCAAGTCTTCAGCCACATTGTTTCTCTAGAAGGGCAAGAAATGCAAGTAAAGGCAAAAAGGTTTGTGTGGGGCGTTGTCTTGTTTTACTCTTTGTTTTCCAATATCAGAACCATAAACTTTTTCAACTCCTTAAAGTTTATATTCATAATTGCTAGTTTGATATAAATTACGCATTGAGCTAGAATTCTGATATCAGGAGATACATATTAAATGTTTAAATTGACCATTCATTTCTTGGAATGCAGGCCCAGTGCTTGGGAGGGTGGAAAGAAGTTATTACTGGTGTCAATGTGGTTACGGTCTTAGAACCATCCGCCTCCTTCCCATGCTCTGTTTGCTTTGGTTCTGTGTCATTAACCACTGAAAAAAGTTGATGTAGCATCCCAATCTGGAGCAGGCTGGTTTGGGTTAAAACGGCTACAAAGTGCTGTTTAGTAACTGAGGAGAAGATACATTGCTGTGGGGCTGGAGAGAAGGCTCAGAGGTTAGGAGCACTGCCTGCTCTTCCTGAGTTCAATTCCCAGCAGCCACATGGTGGCTCACAACCATCTGTAATGAGGTCTGGTGCCCTCTTCTGGCCTGCAGGCACACACACAGACAGAATATTGTATACATAATAAATAAAAGATACGTTACTGTGCTCAATAATTGCAGATACAGTGCGCTCGCCTTCTGCTGTCTCTGACACTCTGCTGGCCTTAGAATGCATTCATTTGCTTTTCTGTTGTCATTTACATTATGAAAATCTTTGGATTTCTGTTCTGTTTTGTGTTCTGATCTAATAGGCCGAGGCCTCATTGTTTCAATTGTGGTTCTGAAGAGCATCAGATGAAGGAGTGCCCAATGGTAAATCTCCCTCTCCCATAAGCAGAGTCCTTAAACAAGAGCTGGTGGGTGTTATGTGCATGTGTGGCCCTGGGGAATGTGCATGAACTTCCTGTGCTACACTCATTTGACTTTAATCATTTCAAATTCATGTTTATACTTAAGACATTGAATTTTTTAAAGAAAATAGTGATACTCTATTTGAGGTAAATGATGTATGAGTTAATTTTCAAACAGTTTATTTTAAAAAGTTAATTTTGGGTTCTGATAACATTAAAATAATAAATAGTTAAAGTGACTGTTCTTGCTTGATTTTCAAAATTGTCTGCCAGATTTTCAAAAATGTCTGTCTGCTTTTATGCATATAGTCTACATTAAAACTAGAGCAATCTGTGCTTTACATTTTAAAAAGTGAATATTTGCAGTAAATTTCTGAATCACTTGATATCATTCTTTTCAAACGTTACTATGATTTAGCCTCGGAATGCTGCTCGAATAAGTGAAAAGAGAAAGGAGTATATGGATGCCTGTGGTGAGGCAAACAGTCAGAGTTTTCAGCAGCGGTACCATGCAGAAGAAGTAGAAGAAAGATTTGGACGATTCAAGCCAGGAGTTATTAGGTACCACTGCTGTTTTACCATGGAGTGTCTTTTTTTTTTTTTTTTCTTCTTAGTATTTAGAACATTTTATGTGTCTTCTGAGGACTACAAGAATGTAAGTGTATACCAAGTGGTGGTGCATGTCCTTAATCCCAGCACTGGGGAGGTAGAGGCAGGTGGATATCTTGAGTTTGAAGCCAGCCTGGTCTACAAGAGCTAGTTCCAGGACAGTCGGGGCTACACAGAGAAACCCTGTCTTGAAAAACGAAAAAACAAAAAAGAATGTAAGCATGCGGTAACATGTCTGTACAGAATGCAACCATTCATTCAAACTCACTGTGCTTAATATGTCTTCATGCTCTGAAATATGGGACAGAAATGTTTTAACTAGGCATGGTTGCTTACACCTGTGATCCCGCATGTGACTGAAGCAGGACAATCCCCATAAGTTCTAAGTGAGCCTGGGCTACAGAGTAAGAGCTCTATCTTAAGAAAAATATGGATCTAAAGAGAAGGCTTAAACTTAAGAGCACTGACTGTTCTTCCAGTAGACCCAGGTTTGATTCCTAGCACTCACAGGATGGCTCAGAACCATATCTGTAACCCAGTTCCCAGGGATCTGATGGATTCTGCCCTCCATGGGCGTCATGTGCACACATGTTGCACTGGCATACATACAGTCGCAAACCCTCACACACATAAAAAAAATAATGATGATGATACTTTTTAAAAAAGAAAAATGCCAATAGTGTTTTTATTCAAGTATGGATTCATCATCTTTCCTCCCCTTTCTTTTTTACTTAGTGAGGAACTTCAGGATGCACTGGGTGTGTCGGACAAGAGTCTTCCCCCTTTCATCTACCGGATGCGCCAGCTGGGCTACCCTCCAGGCTGGCTCAAGGAGGCTGAACTGGAGAATTCAGGGCTTGCACTTTATGATGGAAATGGTACAGTATATTAGCATCGAGAAGTCAGTTTATGAGTCCCTCTCATCCCCCTTTTTTAATTACAACTATTAGCTAGGCCTTTAAGAGAGCATTTGGGGGGCTGGAGAGATGGCTCAGTGGTTAAGAGTACTGACTGCTCTTGCAGAGGACCCGGGTTCAATTCCCAGCACCCACATGGCAGCTCACAACTGTCTGAAGATCCAGTTTCAGGGGATCTGACACCTTCACACCAATGCACATAAAATAAAGTTAAATAAACCATAAAAAATATTTAAAAAAAAAAAAGAGAGCATTTGGAAGGAAGAGGCAGTGAGTTTGAAGCCAGCTTGGTCTACTTCGCACAACCCTGTCTAAAAAGAATCACAGGAAAATGATAGGAGTGCCAGGCCTGTTTAATGTGTGCTGAGGTAGCTAAAACTGTCATCGTGACATTTTCTGTTTTACAAGGAAGGAACTGAAGTGAGCATACAGAATTATCAGGCGGTTTGGCTAGATGTGATGGGGCACATTTGTTATCCCAGCACTTAGACAGAAGCAGGAGGATTGAGAGTTTGAGGCCATTCTGCCTGAGCTGCTTAGCAAGACCCTGTCTTTTAGAGAGAGAGAGAGAAAGAGAGATTAGACATGGTGGCACAGGCCCTTAATCCCAGTGTTCAGGTCTCTGAATTTGAGACCAGCGTGATCTACAAAGTGAGTTCCAGGACAGCCAGAACTGTTACACAGAGAAACCCTGTCTCAAAAAAAACCAAAAAAAAAAAAGGTGGGGGGACGGGGAAGGAATAACATGATAACATGAAAGAAAAAGTATCAAGTAGGGGGAGCTAGGGACATGGCTCAGGGGGAAAGGGTGCTTGCTATACAAACTTGGCATCCAGGAAGGAAAGAACTGCCTCTGTAGAGTTGTCCTTTGACCTCCAAATGCTTGTTATGGTACATCTGCACACTCATGTCATGCACACACAACAACAATAACTTCCCTTTAGTTAAAAAGAAGTATCAGGGCTGGGCAGTGGTGGTGCACGCCTTTAATTCCAGCACTTGGGAAGCAGAAGCAGGTGAATCTCTGTGAGTTTGAGGCCAGCCTGGTCTACATAGCAAGTTCCAGGAAGTTCTTCAAAGCTACAGAGAAACCCTGTCTCAAAAAAAAAAATGTATCAGACCACAGGCCAGACAGTAATGTCTATGAGTTTGAGGCCAGCCTATTCTACACAGAGGAAACCCTGTCATGAAAAAGAAGGAATATCAGAACATTATTTTGGTTTGGTCTGTGTTCACTGAAGCCAGAGTGGAAAGCCTACAGGTAGTCTTGGAGTTTTAGCCTTCTTAGCATTGGTAATGCACACTTCCACAGTGGTGTGGGAGGAGAGACAAAGGGGATTGACTGGGTGTAGCTCCTTGGCAGTACAAGTAACGTGAGAGGGCTTGAGAGTTGGCTCAGAGGTTAAGAACACTGACTGCTCTTCCAGAGGTCCTGAGTTCAATTCCCAGCAACCACATGGTGGCTCACAACCATCTATAATGAGATCTGGTGCCCTTTTCTGGCCTGCAGACACTCTATACTTAATAAATAAATCTTTTTTTAAAAAAGAAAAAGAAAGAAAGAAATACAATGAGAGACCCATGAATTACAATTAATAAAAACTCAGAGGCAGAAATTGGGATTCAACTTGATGGTCAGAAAAGCAAAACAACCAGCCACCGACTCTTACCTCTACCTCAGTCTGAAATGGTGATCCTTCCTCCAGGAATCTCAGAATGAGACTGAGAGCTGTCTCTCATTTTATAATCCTCTTTAGTTCTGGGATTAAGGGTATGCACCAACCACTACCACCTGATTTCGATAGCAAACTAGTGTGACTACTGGGATAAAAAGTGTGTGTCATCACTGCCTGGTCTGTTGGGGTATTTTTGGTTGTTGTTGCTTTGTTTTGTTTTTGTTTTTTGAGACAGGGTTTCTCTTTGTAACTTTGGAGCTTGTCCTGGAACTCACTTGGTAAACCAGGCTGGCCTCGAACTCTCAGAGACCTGACTGCTTCTGTTTCTCAAATGCTGGGATTAAAAGCTAAAGGCGTGTGCCCCACTGCCTGACAGAAACAGGATCTGTTGTTTGTTTGTTTTGTTTTTGGGTTTTCAAAACAGGGTTTCTCTGCATGGCCGTGGCTGTCCTGGAACTTGCTCCATTGATTGGGCTGGCCTCCAATTCAGCTGTTTCTGCTTTTTAAGTGCTGGTATTAAAAGTGTGTGCCAGCACTGCCTGGCTAAATCTTTTTTGTTTTTTGAGACAGAATCGATATCCCAGGCTGGCCTGGAACTTGTGAGTGAACGCTGACCTTGAATCCTGCCTTCACCTCTTAATCGTTGGATCACAGGCTGTCATGCTTAGAGCCTATTTAAAAGTTGAAATGGTTCAGAAAAATGATAGCAATTAATATAGTGATATATTACTTGTTTTTTAATAAATAAAACTTGCCTGAAGATCAGAGGGCTAAGCAGCCATGCAGGCCAGGGAGTAGTGGCACATACCTTTAATCCCAGAAACGGGGATCTCTGAGTTCAGGGCCACCCTGGGCTACACAAGATTGAATCTTTTAAAAGGAGAAACAGATCCCAGTGCTAGGGAGGTGGAGACAGGAGTGATGTGACTGGACAGAGAGAGGAATATAAAGGGGAAAAGACTGGAACTCAATGGTCTGAAGTTGGTGGAGAGCATTGTAGGATCTCACCTTTGTTTGTGTGAACCTTGGTAGAAGTAAGATCTCTTTAGTGTCTTGGCTGCTTTGCTTTTCTGATCTTCAGCTTGATCCCCAATATCTGTCTCTGGGTTTTTATTATTTGTACTACAACCCTAGGCCAATTCTGAATTCTAATACAGTATCTCAGCACTTTCTTTGTGTGATTTGATGTGGAGGAGACATGTTTTTGTCTAGATTTTTAATATTTTCTCTGGTCTCTAGTAGATGATGCTGATGGAGAAACAGAAACTGGAGAAATACAGAATAAAAATGTCACTTATGATCTCTCAAAATTGGTAAACTATCCTGGTTTTAATATATCTACTCCCAGAGGTATTCCAGATGTAAGTATACATTTAACAATTTTTCCTCTAAACTGTGATGATTATATTAAAGATTTTCAAAATACTAAAGTATGTAGCAGTTTGTTACTTAAGCAAGTGAATTCGTAGTTGGGCACGTGTAATCTTGGCACATAAGAAGTGGGGGCAAAGTGAAGTGAGTTTTTACTGACATGTTTTAACATTTCATTTGTTAGACAGATCTCATGTTTTAGGCTGGCCTCGATGGTCCTGCCTTCACTCCCAGATTCTAGGATTGTAGGTGTGCATGCATCCAGCTCTGATGTAGGTGCTGCAGCCAAACTCAGATTATCAGACTGCAACTCTTTTTTTTTAAATATTTGTTTATTTGTTAATTTATTGTGTATACAATATTATTTCTGCATGTATGCCTGAAGGCCAGAAGAGGGCACCAGACCTCATTACAGATGGTTGTGAGCCACCATGTGGTTGCTGGGAATTGAACTCAGGACCTTCTGAAGAGCAGGCAATGCTCTTAACCACTGAGCCATCTCTCCAGCCCCCCAGACTGCAACTCTTTATGCACTAAATCTCCCAGATCCTATACGGAGCTTTAACTTCCATTTTTCAGTACTAGAAATTGAACTCAGAACCTCTTATGTGCTAGTACCACACTGTCAACTCAGCTACATCCCAGTCTTAGTCTCTCTTGTTAATTAGAATATTAAGTGCAAAACTGTATTATCAGAGTTGTGGGTATTTTCTGGCACTGTTTCCTAAGTGAAGGAGCAGAAGTCAATTGTTAGGCTCTATAATCTTAACTCTGGCGCAAGCTCAGCTGGAGTCTGAACCTCAGAAGAGGACTTCTGCAGTGTGGTGTGTGGTGGCGACTGTAACCTGACTTTGACAGGTAGGGGAGTGAATCTGTGAGACAGGGTTTCTCTGTGTAGCCCTGACAGTCCTGGGATTCACTCTGTAGACCAGGCTTGCCTTGAACTCAGATCCTCCTGGCTATGCCTCCTAAGTGCTGGGATTAAAGGTGTGTGCCACCACCATCACCACCACCTAGCTTGTTTCGGGTGTTTTATGATGCAATGATGTTCCTTTTGTGTCCTCTATGCCCTGGGATCCAAGAGTCTGCCATTTAGTCTAGTTTTACAGTTTTTATTATTATTTTCTTGTTTGCATATGAAGTAATGGGATTTTTCTGTGACATTTGTTTTGTTGTTGTTGTTGTTTTTGTTTTGTTTTGTTTTGAGACAGGGTTTCTCTGTGTAGCTTTAGAGTCTGTCCTGGAACTCACTCTGTAGACCAGGCTGGCCTCAAACTCAGAGATCCACCTGCCTTTGCTTCCTGAGTGCTGGGATTAAAGGCGTGTGCTACTCATTGTGACATTTTTTTTGTTTTAGGACTTATGGGAGGGGTTTTGTTGAGATGGGGTCTCACTGTAACCCAAAAAACTTTCAAGTCACTGTGTGTCCCAATCTTGCCTGGGATTTGCAGTGACCCTTAGTAACCTCTTTAGTGCTAGGAGCAAAATCTTAAAAAGTTGATGTTTTCCAAATCCATTCATTCCATTTTTCCACATTAGGAATGGAGAATATTCGGTTCCATACCAATGCAGGCATGTCAACAGAAGGATGTGTTCGCCAGTTACCTTACTTCTAACATCCAGTCGGTAAATAGATTTGTGTGTGCACGTGTATGATGCTGAGAATTGAACCTAGGATCTCAGGTGTGCTGGGCAAGCGCGCTACCACTGAACTACATTCCTAGCCTCAATACATAGGTTTTAAGGGTATAGTTGGTAAATGTTTGTAGCCTTGAGATTTTATGGCGGTATCTTAACTATTCTTTTGGATTATATTGTAAACACTGACAGCTGATTAATCAAGAGGCTGCTGAATAGGAGCTCATTCAACAATTGCTTGGGTCCAGACTGGTTAAAGTATGGGTTCGAGGTTCTCTGTGTAACTTGTGTTCCTATTGATTACTCCATTAGCCGAGCATGAAGTCTGGCAGCAAGCGATCTTCCTCTCAGTCCAGCCCTAATAGTCCAAAGAAGCAGAGGAAGGAAGGCAGCTCAGCAGCCTCCCCCGCTGACATGGAACTTGACTCAGGTATGTTTTATCAGAGCGTTGCCTTTGTTGCTGGTCAAACCTGAATTGGAAGCCATGCTTGGTGTGAGAAGCAGAGGGACCAGCTATCCAAGTCCCTGAATTTGGCAGTCAGGCACCCATGGTGCCACAGCTCATCGGGCCCTCTCTTAGGGCATCACTCTGGAACAAACAGCAAAGGGGCATGTATGCACGTCTCTGGCAGCTCCAGCCTCAAGAAGAGTTGAGCCATTGGGCTGTGCCTTTGTAGGCGTATTGTTCCTCAGCGTTATCTTCCAGGGGCCATGTACTCGTTAGAACTCAAAACTGAGCATATCCTTGCCTCTGAAACACTCCCTTGGCCTTTTGTTCCTCCATGTCTTCCCATGGACCTGTGCTTGCCCAGGATCATGGTGGTCCTGACAGGGAGAGCTAGTGTCTGTGTTAAGAGCCCCTCTGACCCAGCCCAGCCACTGCTCATTTGTGTTTGCCTGATTCGTGGTTCATTAGATAGACTCCAGGGCTGTTCTGGACCCCAGACTAAAAATTCTTGTCCTGTTCCAAAGTAGGCCTGGCTAGTTCTGTCTGTCCTACATAGCAAGGCAGGTGTTCTGAAATGAGGTAAAATGGCAACATTATGAAAAAAGCATAAAACAGTACTGGGGCAGTGGTAGGGCTGGTGGATTGCATGCTTAGCATGTGGGAGGCCCTGGGTTGAAATACCAGCATTGAAGAGGCACAAATAGTGTACTTTATTCCAGACTTGAATGGAAACACTCCCCATTTTCAAGTTCCCAGGGAGATTTTAAAAGATTATAAACTAAATTCTCTTAAAGTTGAAGGGAAATGAAGTCCAAAATTAATTACTTTACAAAAATGATTGTGGGTTCAAATCTAGCCTGGGCTGTATTGCAGGATCCTGTCCCCAAAGATAAACCAGTTAAGCTGCCAAATCATTTTATATTGTATCATCTGCTAAAGACCCATGAAAATTTGAAACAAGCTGGATGTGGTGGTAGATTCCTATAATCCGAGCACTTAAGAGACAAGAGGTCCTCACAAGGTCTCCATAGCAAGTTCTAGGCCAGCCAGGGCTATAGAATGGGATCCTTCTTTTCTTCCTTCCTTCCTTCCTTCTTTCCTTCCTTCCTTCCTTCCTTCCTTTTTATGGTTTTTCTTTTTATGGTTTTTCGGGATAGGGTTTCTCACTGTATCCTTGGTTGTCCTGGAGATCGCTCTATAGATCAGGCTGACCTTGAACTCACTCAGAGATCCACCTGTCTCTGCCTTTTTCTTTCTTTCTTTCTTCCTTCCTTTCTTTCTTTCTTTTTTTTAAAATGGAGAGGCAGTGTTAAAAGGAGGGTGCTCAGTGAGTAAAAGCTCTTGCTGCCAAGCCTAATGACCTGAGTTTGTTCCCCGGGATCCACATGATGGATGGAAAGAACCTATCTTTCTCCTGCCTTGCTATTGGCTATTCATTTTGGTTTTCGAGACAGGGTTTCTCTGTAGCTTTGGAGCCTTTCCAGGAACTAGCTCTTGTAGACCAGGCTGGCCTCAAACTCACTGAGCTCCACCTGCCTCTGACTCCCCCTCCCAGTGCTGAGATAAAGTTGTGCACAACCACTGCCCAGCTTTTGGAGAGAGGGCTGGTTTTGGTTGAGTTTCTTTTTTCTTTTTTGAAGACAAGGTTTCACTTTGTAGCTTTGGAGCCTATCCGGGAACTAGCTTCCCAAGCACTAGGATTAAAGGCACACACCCCCTGGCTGTTTGCCAGATCTCATTATAGGTGGTTGTGAGCTGTCTCTCCAAACAAATGAAAGACTGAATATGTGGTTCAGTGAGTCCATTTGACTAGGACACATGAAGTCTTGGGTTTGATTCTCTAGAACCTCATAAAACTAAGTGTGGTGCACATGCCTTAACTCCTGCATTCCAGATGTGGAGGCAAAGGGATCTCAAGTTACAGGCCAGTCTAGCTACATAAAATATTCTATCAATCAGGCAGTGGTGGCTCACACCTTTAATCCCAGCACTCAGGAAGCAGAGATAGACAGATCTCTGTGAGTTTGAGGCCAGCCTGGTGTACAGAGCGAGTTCTAGGACAGCTAGGACTGTTAAACAGAGAAACTCTGTCTCAAAAAAACAAAAACGGGGCTGGAGAGATGGCTCAGTGGTTAAGAGCATTGCCTGCTCTTCCAAAGGTCCTGAGTTCAATTCCCAGCAACCACATGGTAGCTCACAACCATCTGTAATGAGGCCTGGTGCCCTCTTTAGGCATGCATGTAGACAGAATACTGTATACATAATAAATAAATAAATGTTTAAAAAAAACAGAAACAAAAATTATGTGTGTGTGTGTGTATAATCAAAAAATAGTAAATTTTTAGACAAACATGGCAGCGTGCCTTTTATCCCAGCAGGAGAATCTCTGTGTTCAAGGTTAGCTTGGTCTACAGCAAATTCCAGTCCAGCCAGGGCTATATAGTAAGACTCTGTCTCCAAAAAATAAAAATCAAAATTAAAAAATAATAATACAGGCTGGAGAGATGACTCAGCAGTTAGAAGCACCAAGTACTCTTCCAGAGGACCTGTGTTCAAATGTCAGCACCCACATGGCAACTAATAACTGTCTATAACTCCAAGATCTGATACCTTCACACATACTTGCAGGCAAAACACTAATGCACATAAAGTAAAAATAAATTATTAAAAGTTGTCCTCGTCACCACTTAGGGATTACAGACTATCACTGTATTTTGAAAGCATAGCATATACTGAATGGTACATAGAGGGCAACAGTGTAACAGACCCGATTACAGACCATAGAGTTAGCAACTTAGAATTGATCTTGAGGAGTGAAATCTAGGGCTTAGCAGGGAATCAGGACAAGCATTTGAGGCCGTAGGAGATGCACACACACAAGCATGAACTCTAGCACACTAGCCTAGCAGCAGAGAGGGAGCTGGACAGCAGAGGTAACCAAGGAAAAGCAAACAAGCCTCTTGCTATTGCCACACATGCTGCGCAAGTGCGCTTTCTGTTTTTTAAACGTTTTGAAATGGAGCCACAGTAAGTTGTCCAGGCTGAACTTGAACATAACAGTCCTCCTGCCTAAGTGTCCTCAGTAGCTGGATTAGAGGCCTGCACCTTTATCAGGCCAGGCTATGAGAAATTCTTGGCCATAAGGAGATTTCTAAGAATGGCGTCCAAGGCTTTCATTGAAATGGAAGGTTCATAAGATCAAGTGGGTGTTTTAGAAATAGGTGTCCAGCTAACTTGGAGGATAAATGTAAGAAGAATGTATCCGGAGGTGAGTGTGGCTCACTGTTCCTGACACATGTCGGTGGACCGTGGATCTGGAATAAGGTGGTGACCGTTGTGATAGAGGAAAGGGTGGACTTGAGGGAGCCCAGTGTCTGGGACTAAGGCAGAAAAGAAGACTCTGCAGCTAACAGCAGAAACTTCCTCTTCTCTTCTGCAGTCTTCCCTACTCATTGATGGGAACACCTCCTGTCTCCTCATGTCACATTCCTTAGAACCAAGATTCAGAGCATTCTCCCTGATGGGGCTTCCTCAGGACTTCAGACATTCCACTGTTTTCCCCTTTTCCTTTTTTTTTTAATTAATTTATTTATTTATTATGTATACAATATTCTTGTCTGTGTGTCTGCCTGCAAGCCAGAAGAGGGCATCAGATCTCATTTCTGATGGTTGTGAGCCACCATGTGGTTGGTTGCTGGGAATTGAACTCAGGACCTTTGGAAGAGCAGGCAATGCTCTTAACCACTGAGCCATCTCTCCAGCCCCCCCTTTCCTGGTTTTTAAGACTGTAATCCAGGCTGGCTACCCGAGTGCTTGCATTAGTGGCATGGGCCACCACGTCTAACCCTTTTCTGCCTTCTCAAAGACAGTTATTTTGGTTCATTCTATCTCTAGGTACCCCAAGTTCAAATAATAAGTTTGTATGAAATGCTATGACTCCTTCTAAAGCATCTTTGTCTTTTCAGATGCGGAGGTTCCACCTGGTTCTCAGAGCAGCAAAGCCTTTCAGTTTCAACCACCATTGCCTCCTGGCACACCTCCTCCGCTGCCACAGGGAACACCTCCACCCCTCTTTACTCCTCCGCTCCCGAAGGGCACCCCACCACTGACGCCCAGTGACTCACCCCAGACCCGACCCACAGCAGCCATGGATGAAGACACCCTGACACTGGAGGAGCTTGAGGAGCAGCAGAGGCAGATCTGGGCGGCTCTGCAGCAGGCCGAGGGCGGCAACAGCGACTCTGATGTTCCTGTGGACACACCTTTAACTGGGAATTCAGTTGCCTCCTCCCCTTGTCCAAATGAGTTTGACCTCTCTGTTCCAGAAGGAAAGGCCGTGGAAAAACCAGTGCTGACTGACCCCCAGGGACCAACCATTTCTGCAGAAACAACTGGACCTGAACCTCCCTCCAGCCCAGCTGCAGGGGCAGCCGTGCTCTGTCAGAAAGAAGAGGGAGAAGATACAGAGGGGGACCCTGAAGATGCTCTTGACAATGGCAGTGTGTCGAACTGTGACGTGAGGAATGGAGGCAGCCAGAAGCTCCTTCATCTGGGCACCCGCCCCTCGACAGCTTCAAAAACCCACAGCCTGGTACCTGACATGAGCAAGTTTGCCACTGGAATAACACCCTTCGAATTTGAGAACATGGCTGAGTCCACTGGAATGTACCTCAGGATAAGAAGCCTGTTAAAGAATTCACCCCGAAATCAACAGAAAAACAAAAAGGCTTCTGAGTGAGCGCTTGCCGCAGTGTCCCTGCTGCAGGACAGTCTGCAGCTCTGTTCTCGTGGACTGAGATGGCAAGTGCGGTCACTTCCCGTGTGCCCTTCCCACCTTTCAGAATCTGCCCATGGTTTTATTGTGATCTCAGCTCTAGCCTGTTTCACAGAATGAAAGACTAGACGTGAGTTTGCTATTTTACTCTCTCTGACAACAGCCGAGGGTGTGTTCATGAGCTGCTTCAAAGGTGGTTGGTTCGGGAGTATCTGTCCAGAGTGAAGGTTTTTTGTTTTTTTATTTTTAATGTCTTTTGTAAATGTTTTCCCTTTCTACATTTTGCTATTATCCTGTATATAGAAACTTAATATATCACTTTTTAAAAGAAATTCTAACAACTTTAAATTCACATTTCAATTCCAACAACCAAATGAGAACAATCAGGGATGAGCAGCTTTGTCCTGCTTGGGGTATTTTTGTAAGATTTTCATGCATGAATTTTAATAACACTTTTACTTTTTGTAATTTAATTATTTGAATCCAGTAAAGGTGTGCTCACCTTTGTGTACAGAGGTTTAATAAATTAGTTTTCTTACACATGAACCAAGACTTTGGGAGATGTGACTCACAGTTAAATTGTTCTTTTAAACTTAGATGAAAATTATGTGGTTGCAAAGAAACTGCATGTTTGGCTGCTATAAGTGGACCCCAGCCTTACATATAATAATATAGAAACAAAATTGTTTAATTATTTTGGAATGGAGGTCAGTTAGCCTTTATACAAGATAATATTGTGCATTCAAGCCGTAAGGTAATAGACAGACACAAACTGAGTGTGACGGTCTATTAGGCAAGCAGGAGCCAGATCTGGTTCTGTTGGTGCTGTTGGTCAAGCTCGGGAACATTTGGAGATCCTGAACTCATGTAGTGTTGTTACTCTGCTCCCAGGCCAACAGAGGGCGAAAGGGAATCATTCTGGACTCAGTGTTCATCTCTGACTTGCATCGTCCAGTTCACTGATTTGTAAGCAGTAAAGGAAGGGTGCTTACAAAAAAGGGTGAATGAGGCCATGCTGGAATAAATGTTGAGTGCTTTGAGCTTTTTTGTTATACGAGTTTTAAGTGAATTCTTCCCAGGGGGTTGTGTGGCACTGACCATTATGAGTGTAAGCCTTTCTATCAGCCCTGCCCCAAGAAAGAAGATGAGGGGTCTTGTCAACATTGAATATGTTTTCCCGCTCTCATTTCTTTTCTTTTGAAGTAGGAGCTTGCTGTATAGTCCAGGCTGGCCTTATTCACCATCTCCCTGCTACTAACTGCCTTACTGCTGGGATTACAGGCAAGATGACATGGTTCTTTTACAAAAACAAAAAAACACATTTATTGGGGCAGAGGGGACCTTCCTTGGCATGCATATGGGGTCAGAAGACAGTGGTTGGGGGTCCATGTTCTCTTCCCACTACTGTTTGTCTTCATCAAGCATGGCTGACAAGCACCTTGACCTGATGATCCAGTTCCCCAGCCTGATCTTCCTGTGTCTGCCTTCCTAACTCCTGATTAAAGTGTGCACCACCACTCCCAGTTGCCAGGGATCCAGCCCAGAGCCTGTGTGTGTTAGGCAAGCACCCTGCTGACCACACTGCCTCTCCAGCCCTAGTGTCATGCCTCTTGACTGGTCAGACTACCGCTAGGCTAAACTGATTTCTGAGTAATAAATGACTGTTTATTCCAGTGCAGTGGCTCGTGCCTGAAATCCTAGCACTTGGGAGGGAGGCTGCAGGATCAGACCAGCCTTGGTACATAGCAAGTTAAGTTAGCCTGAGTTACATGAGATCCTGCCTCAAAAAAAAAACAAAAAAACAAAAAAAAAACCCACAAAACTATTCCTTTAACTATTGTATTACTGGTATCCTCCTGTATTGAGATAGCTCAACAATTATTTCTAGCCCATAAATACCCCATTAAGGTATGGATTCTTCCATTTTCACTTCGTTGATAGGTATTCTCTTTTTTTTTTTTTAAGTAAATGTCTAAGACATAGATGGTAAGCAACCTGATTGTAAATAAATTCAGATCTCTTGCCTCTGTATCCAAGCTCTTTTTTATTTTTATTTTTTTTTGAGTTATGTGTATATGTGTGTATGTGTGAGTTCAGGTGCCCTTGGCGCCCAAAAGAGGGCATTGGATCCTCTGGGATGGGCGTTGGATGCAGGTGGTTGTGAGCTGGTGTGGTTTTTGGGAACCAAACCCAGGCCCTCTTCAAGAGCAGCAAATTGAACAGCTCAGCCATCTCTCCATTCCAAATCTGAGCTTTTACCCACTGCCTTGCCTCCCTGTGAGAAGGTCTACAGAAGCATTGACTTCTCAAAAACCAGGCTCTTTTTTTTTTCTTTTTCTTTTTTCTTTTTTAAATTAGGACTGGAATTTTATCTGAGTGTTAGAGAGCTAGCCAGAAAGGTTGAGAGCTACCCACTGGGGCACATTCGTAAATAGAAAGCCTGGCACCGGGAGACTGAAGGAGCTCATTTGATTCATGGGTCCCAGCATAGAGCGGTATATGGCTTTGGGAGAGCACAGAAGCTAAAGAAGACCATTCCAGAAGCAGTCCTTAAAGTATAGGAAGGAGGATATTACAGACTGAATGCACACTAAGACATAAGGAATGCTAGCAAGATGGCTCCAAACTAGAGTTCAGTCCCCAGGACCCATGTACTGGGAAGAGAGACAGGTTGGCATTTGATCTCCACATGCACATCATGGTGCCTGCATACACACAATAAAAAATAAAAAATCAGGGAATAGTAAAAGTGAAATGTGGAGGCAGGGTTAGAGGACACCAGGAGAAAACGGCTCAGAATCAACGAAGCTGGGCTCATAGGGGCTCAGAGACTGAAGTGACAATCACAGCCTGCATGGCTCTACACTAGGCCCTCCGCATACATCTTGTAGTCGTTAGTGTGTTGAAGTGGGAATGTCTGACTTTTGCCTTTCATGGGACCCTTTTCCTCCCGGGTTGCCTCACTCAGCCTTGATATGAGGGTTTGTGCCTAGTTTTTTTTTTTTAGGTGGGGGTGTCTGGATTCAAGACTTGTGCCACCACCACCTGGCGAAGGATATTTTTAAAGACCTTGAAAAAAAGTTGATGAGTGCTAAGTACCCATCACTGCTTTGCTGTGCGCTTCAAGTTTATGAGGTGAAAGGATCTGTAAGGTTCTTCATTGAGGAGTGACTTCATCTAAGTAATACTACCCATTTTCCTTTTGAAGGTCGGATCAATTTCTATAGCCCAGGCTGCTCTGCCTTTGCTATGTAGCCCTGACTGACCTCAAACCCACCACATTCCTCCTGTCTAAGCATCCCAAGTGTTCGGATTAAAGATATTCACCACCAAACCTGGTCCCGAGCAATGCTTTGAGTCACATTTACTTTTTGTAACATGTGATGGAGGCTGAGGGAGGGCACATGGCACAATGTGCAGGCGGAGGTCAGAGGACAACCTGCGGGAGTCAGTTCTCCCTCCTTCCGCCTTGTGGGCCTTGAGGATAGTGCTCAAGTCGGCAGGTGTCCTTGTTGAGCCATCTTGCCAGTCCCCGAAGTTATTCTTCTCTTTTTATTCTTTTTCTTTTACTTTTTAATTATATGTATATATGTGTGTCTATGCATGTGCCCAAGGAGGGTTGGGGCCTCCGGGCCCCCTGGAACTAGAGTTAGAGGCAGGCAGTTGTGAGTTACCTCACATGGGTCCTGGGAATCAAACTCAGGTCCTCTGGAAGAGAGGTATAGCTTAGCCCTCTCTCAAGCTCCCAAGCCGTTCTTTAAAGTAGATTATTGTTTTGTTTTTCAAGACAGGTTTTCCCTGTGTACCCCTAGGTGTCCTGACACTTGCTCTGTAGACCAGGCTGGCCTCAAACTCAGAACTCAAGAGAACTGCCTGGGTGCTGGGATTAAAGGTGTACACCACCACACCTGGTTAAGTAAATGAATTTTATAGCAGAATTCAGAGTGAATGGAATTTATTTTTTAATGTTTTCATTAGTAGGATTATGTGCACTGGTGTTGTGCCTGCATGTATCTCTGTGTGAGTTCCAGATCTGGCACTGGAGCTGCAGACAGTTGTGAGCCGCTATGTGAGTGCTGGGAATTGAACCTGGGTTCTCTAGAAGAGCAGCCAGTGCTCTTAATTGCTGAGCCATCTCTCCAGTTGCAGGCTGGGATTTATTTTTAAAGACAGGAATTCATATGTAGGAGGGCAGAGGAATAGGACGAAGTTGCTTCATGGAGGTAACACACTCTTTAAAAGTATTCTGTGTTTGGGTGTTAGGGCGAGAATGTTGGGCAGAGGGAGGAGGGATCGTTTGGACTTGTCAGCGTTATGACAGGTCTCCAGGTGTGGGCCAGTGAGGTAATAACCAAACACCTCAAGATAGACGTTCAAGCAGGGGTGGGGATCTGTTTGTCAAGTGGAGTCCCACAGGTTGCTACAACAAGGCCATCATTTTCCTGAGCATGTGACTGGAAAGAAGGCAACTGCCCTAACACCAAAGCCTGCTGACAACACTTGCCTCCAAAGGCTGTGTGTCAGCAGCCTGCATTCTGATAGCCACGGATGTCTCCCAGGGGACTAGATTCTCACGTTCTTTGCTAGAATGCTTTGATTTTTTTTTCCTCCTATTTTTTTAACTTTACATTTTTATTATGCATGTGTGTGTTTGTGCAAGCAAATATCACAGTGCACATGGGGAAGTCAGAAGGCAACTTGTGGGTTCTCTTCTACCATTGTAGGTCCTGGGGATAGAATTAGGGTCATTTTGGCAGCAAGCACCTTTATCCACTGAACCTTCTCAGTGACCCTCATTTGATTTTTTTTTTCCTGTCTTGTAGTTCAGAGACTGACATGAGCAGACGAAACCAACCTGAGTGTTGTAATAATCTTTAGTGCCCAAACAGCTTCCAAGGTGTGACTCATTCTCTGAGATTACAATGCTTTCAGACAGCTGATGTTTGGGGATTTAGGAAAATCCTTTTCCATCAGTCTCAGGTTCATTTGATAGCATAGGTCCCTTCAGACTGCTTAGAAGCAAGTGATTTGGTAAAGGAAAGTTCACACCTATAATCCCACTCTGGGATTTAAAGAAACACATTCTTAGGATGTGGTCCTGGATCAGCTAACAAGTTTAATGCATGCTTTTGGAGTTTTTTCTATAAAACTCTGTTGTTGGAGGCTGCTTGCTTGTTCCCAGCTCCCAAACTTGAAATAATGACACAGAAGCTATATTATTTAAATCACTGCTTGGCCAATCACTTAAGTGTATTGCTATCTTAGATTAGCCCATTTCTATTATTTTATATTTTACCACGAGGCTTGTGGCCTACCAGCAAGGTTCCGGTGGCTCACATCTTTCTCCTCTGGCAGCTCCATGGCTGCTCACTGACTCAGCCTACTCTCTCTATAGATATCTTTCCAGCCTGGCTATATTCTGTTAAGCCATTGGTCAAAAGCAGCTTCTTTATTAATCAATAAAAGCAACACATATACAGAAGGACTTCCCACACCAAACCTCATTTTTGTATTTTTTTTTAACATGTTACTGAACAATGTCTTTTGTAATTCTGTAAAAATCCCTTTAGGTCTGGGGATGGAGCTCAACTGGTAGAATGCTAACCCAGCATGTACAAAGTCATGGGTTTCAGCTCCAGCACCTTATAAACCAGCATGGATGTGTGCCTGTGATCCCAGCCCTCAAGAGGTAGAGTCAGGAGAACTAGCAGATCAAGGTCATCCTCAGCTACACAGCAACTTTAAAACCAGCCTAGAATATGTGAGACTGTCTCAAAAATAAATCCATTAATCAATTTAAGACGAGGCAGGGAGATAACTCAGTAGTTATAGGCGCTTGCCACCAAGCCTGACAACCTGGGTTCTATCTTCAGGACCCACACAGTAGAAGACCTGCTGAGCATGGTGGCACACCCCTTTAATCCCAGCACTGGAGAAGCAGAGGCAGGTGGATAGATCTCTGAGGTTAGCCTGCCTGGTCTATATAGTATATGTTTATATTTTATAATCCCAATCCTTTTATATATCTGAAGCGGTGGGA